GTATGCATTGTAATAAAATGTTTTGAAGATAAATAAAATAGATATAATGCTCAAAATCTAATATTCCTAGCATTATTGGAGGAAAATTGAAATGCAAAAATGCATCAAATTTGACAACTTTAAAAATCGCCACAAAGAAGTTACTTACAATATATTTTTAACAGCAATTGTAAAATAATACCAGTTTAACATACGAAAATTCTTCGAATTTTCCTTCTAAAGATTTTTAAAAGGCTACAGTTGATACAAAATCAAGCTGAAATATTATACGTGACCGTTTTGCCACCTTATATAAAGTATTGATCATGATTTTTCGTGATCATCATGATTTTTCATCGTCATCAAGATTTTTCTGCAGTATACCACATACTTGCAAATAAAGCCTATTTATTTTTCTGTCAAAAGGAATCTTAAAGCAAATTATTTTCCCCTTAAATATTTTACGAGCCAAAAGGCAGGAATGGGCAGACCTGCCGTTTCTTTTCTTGTTTACCTCTCATATATCAGTTCCACTTTATGAAGACATATAGGTCACGTTTAATTTACTGCTTGCCATTCCCCTTTTTCACTCATTCAGACAATACATAGGGAAATTGCAACTTTTAAATTCCCATCTTGGTTTTGGATTTCATACATATTTAAATACAGTGTGTATTGTCTTTTAGTGTATTACAAATTGTAACGTCTCGGCCTATATTAGGCCTATTACAGCAGGGGAAGAAGGAGGTCACTTTCAGGTTCATGGGAACACTTTAATTTTTATTTACAAGTACTATATATTTATATATATATATGCAAATACAGAACTCTGGACTATTATAATTTATTATTTACAAAAAAAATAAAATTTAAAGATTTAAATTTGATTCATAAATGCACGATTAGATCACAAGTACAGTTCACTCCAAGGTCAGAAATTCTCAGAGTTCTCGAGTCTACGTCGAATCTAGAAATACGTGGTCTGCGGCAGACCTTAATTATTACGGGGGATTCACTTTAGGGGGAGGGGGTTCACTTTAGAAAAAGACGGAATCATTTCACTTTTCAATCACTTCAGAGAAAAAAAAACAATACTTTTGGTCGAGTCATTGCAGAAATCTCTTCTTCTCCTTCCCCCAAAACCTTCTTTAAAGGGTGGTCAGCTTTCCTCACTTCTCATTGAAGTTGACCTATCTCAGCTCGTGGTCTATCACCCATCCCGATGCAACAACCTGTGGTGATGTCCATATTCCATCTGTAGTTGTTTCTACCTGTGAAGATTGCATAGACAATCTCTAATTTCCTGAGTCTCATTATACCTGATGCCGAATATCTGCTATCAGATTTGAGTGACAGGTTGTTCTCATGAGTACAAAACACTAATTGCCTTTAATATAACTCCCACAATAAAACTCGTCTGCTGTCAAATTTGAGTGATGGGTTGTTATTTTATACTTGTCAAATAACATGCATTCCTCTCTCCTGGGATTGTAATGCCAAAACTCTTCGCTTGTGAAAAAAATGTTACAATATCAAAAGTTTTTGGTAAATATTATCTAACAACGTTCAGAAAATTTGACATTTTCTGTGCTCAGGTGTGACTTCGAAGAACAGTGTATTTTTATATTAAATTTGCCACAAAGAATCCTCCGAAGTCAAAAGCAGTTAAACAATTTTCTCGTTTAAAAATTCCTTTAATACTGAAGGTAAAATTAATGAATATCAAGAAAAAAAATTGAAGAGCTGTAAACGAGTTTAAAACAAGATCTGGGTAGTTCCAGATCTGCATTGGTGTTTTTTGTTAATCGATTTGCAATTGATATTATTGAAGATGGCTTTGATTCTAATGTAATACTCTCCGACACAAGGAGAAATAAAAGAAATAGAAATGAACCAAGTATAATAAATGCTGCACAAATCTCTCATCCTGTTTGACTTTCGGAAATTGGCACCTAAAACAAAGCATCCTAACTTAAAGAAAGCAGCTTGACGACTATTTTCAATTTTTTTAGATTCTGTGAATATTTTACAACAATGAAGTTTGCCAAGTTAGAATACTACTCACACACTTATCCGATCAACATCTTAAAGAATTGCTGTTTACGGCCTTGATAAATTACGCACCAGACTTCAAATGATTATCAAAAGAAAATTAACCAGATTTATATTTATTTTGTTAATTTTTTTCCAGTATAGTATATTAATTCTATAATCATCATCATAGTTGGCTCGACAGCCCGTTGTGGGCCTTGGCCTTCTTTAAAAGATCCAGCCACGCTGTTCTCCTCTTGGCTGTGGACCTCCAGTTTTTTTATCTTAATAACATTAAAATAAGAGTCTAGACAGTCGAACCATCTCTTTTTCGGTCTTCCCCTTGGTCGTTGTCCAAAAGGGGTTACATTGAAAACCCTCAAAGCAGCTCTATCACTTTCCATTCTCATGAGATGACCGGCCCATCTCATTCAGTTCAGTTTAACAAATTTTAGAATGTCAATATCTCTAAAAAGTTTGTAAAGTTCAAAATTGTATCTTCTTCGCCAATTTAAATTATCTTTGATACCACCAAAAATAATGCGTACCACTTTTCTTTCAAAGATTGCCAACATTTTCTCTTCTCTTGCTGTTAGTGACCATGTTTCAGATGAATATGTTAACACTGGTGATGAATATGTTAACACTGGTGTTAGCACTGGGGAGAGGTTTATATAGTAAAATTTTGTTGTTCTTTTAATCAGGTGGGATACATTGGGGAAAAAAATAACAGAAAAAACAAAATATAAGTTAATTATATGTGTATTAATTCTAGTATGCGTCTATTATATCTAGTATTATAATATGTGTATTAATTCTAGTACCATACGTGTAGCTTCGGTTTGGTTTGTCGCTCTACGGTCATCTTGTGCAAACGAGGGCTAAACTGACCGGTACAGTTTAAAATCGATTCTAAACCACTCACAAACATTCATGCCGCCTCCAGGAATTGGAGCCTGTGTACCAAAGGCCAGAGCGCTAGCCACTTGGCCATCAAGCCGCAGCATCGTATCTGTATTAACTCTAGTATTATAATATGTGTATTAATTCTAGTATTATAATATGTGTATTAATTCTAGTATTATAATATGTGTATTAATTCTAGTATTATAATATGTGTATTAATTCTAGTATCATATGTGTATTAAATCTATTATTATATGTGTATTAATTCTAGTATCATGTGTGTATTAAATATATTATTATATGTGTATTAATTCTAGTATCATATGTGTATTAAATCTATTATTATATGTGTATTAATTCTAGTATCATGTGTGTATTAAATATATTATTATATGTGTATTAACTCGTATTATACGTGTATTAATTTTATAATAACAACCTATGTCCTATGTATAAACTGACTATGAAAAAGCAGCAGCACTTATTCGGCACTGCCCGGGCCTGGACCCTACGTTACAATATAAAAGAGATGTTTGCCTGTTGTGTTGGGTGGCCAGGAATCTCATGTCCTGAGCACACGTTTATTTGTCTTTTTAGACTTTTATGCACGTTTAATTTTTAGGGTTTTACTTGTGTAATGTTTTCATATTGTTAAGTTTTAATTCTAATGATGATGTTAAGTGTTCTTAATATTTTGGTAGTACGTAATTCTGAATTAATGGTTATATTATTCTTTGGCGAGTGGCCTGATGTAAATAGATTGAGTTCCAATTTTGTGGTATGAAACAATAACTTTACTTCTATAAAATGTTTGCCTTTATTTTTTTTAAAAACAGATTTGTCTATTTGATTCTGAATACAGTTAAATAAATATTAGGTATTGTATTTAATTTTATTAAAGATATGTTTCTACCAAAAAATGTGTAATCTGTACTAGACTTCGGATGACCTATCATCTGCCAACTTAGTCCCGTACTTAACGAAAAACTTTTATATAAGTTTAATCATATTGCTTTGCCATCGTAAACCCGCAGTTATATTTATGCTATGAGCAAAAGCAATACAGTATTTTATACACTGGTATCCTTAAACCTATTCATAGTTAAGCTTTTCTGGTCTGGTCATATGCCACAAAATATAGTTTAAAATTTATTGGAGTCCTTCAAACCATTACTTTTTGACAAGCAAAATGGTATATCAGAAGTTCTGAAATACAGCAAACCATCAGAATTCCGCCATTAAAATATTTCCTTAAATGTGACTCGAAAATGATTTCAACACCTTGGAAAAAACATGAAAATACTCCAATCCAGGGAATTAAAATCTATGAGTCTAATATTTCCATTAAAAATAGCTTAGAATTTTGATTTAAATCTTTATTTTATTTTCATACTGTATTTCTATTGTGTTATTTAAAATTTTCTATCATTTTCGGCAAGTTACTCATGCCAATGGCTTTTTAACCTTGTAATTACAGTAGACGTGGCCCCCACGGGGCTAGGAAGCCCCAAGAAATCAAACACCTGAAGAAACTGCAACACTTAGAACTAGAACTTGAGCAGAATTGCAAGAGAGAGAACTGGGTTGCTGTTAGGATGCTAAATGTTATGCTTCATACATGATGTATATAATATGCATTAAATGAAATATTTTTCAGTAATGAACAGCCTGTGCTTTTTTAAATTCCCACAGACACCACAAACGTTTACACTATCTCACCTACATTTATGATAAATAATTTCGAGTATATTTTGAGGCATTTATGATAAATTTTATTTTTCGAGGCATTTATGATAAATAATTATATATTTAATTTTGTGTGTGTGTGTATGACTAGTAAGTAAATTGAGCAAATACAGCAGTGGTTCTTAAACTTTTTGAAGTCGGTCGTACTTAAAAACTTACAAATAAATATAGGTGCGCTATTTAAAAATTTCTGACAAATAAGAATCAGCAACTAACGCCTTATAGTTTTATATCCATTGGTCCTTTCCACAGTCTACTACTTACAGATGACGGGGTCTCAGAGACCACAATGGAATTTTTTAGCATTGAAAATCACATAGATGCTAACGTCTCTCGTCACTCAACTAGCTCAGTCGGTAGAGCACGAGTCTCTTAATCTCGGGGTTCTAGACCAACGTTGGGCGTAATCTCGGGGCCTGAATGGCCGAGTGTCTAGTTCTCTGGTACCACCACTTCAAGTTCAGAATTAAGGAGATAAAATACATCTCAGCCTTGTCCTTAACACTCGATAAAATGTCATCCACTATTGTCATTTTCGTTGACTCCATATTGTTGAACATAACTGCCCTTGAAAGGTTAACTTTACCCAATAAATATTGTAGATAAGGGAATAATTCGATAAATTTTCAATATCAGTAATCATAGTCACGTATTTAACCGACTTACTGGATTGTAACGGGGTTTAAATTAAAAACACCCCCCTGTCAAAAAATGACGAATTTGTTGTAGATTTATCATCACGGGAGAAGTGTTTCGTTTGATAAAAAAATAAATACTTAATTTATGCAAAAACATGTAGTTACTTTCCATTGGCGCGCATTTCAATGTACCGTTGTATCGGCAGATACGAGTATGTGGCCGATTCAGTGCTACCTAATGTCCACTGTGGGTTTGGTTTGGTTTGTCATTCTATGGTCTCTTTTTTAACACTTTAGGCTAATTAGTTCGGGACCTACAGTTTAACGTGGATTCCGAACCACTCACAAACATTCATGCCACCCGCCAGGATTCGAATTTGAAGCCTGTGCCTGTACCAAAGGCCAGAGAGCTAGCCAATTGGCCATCAGGCAGCATCCACTGTGGGAGAGGAGTTTTAATATTTTACCACTGTAATTTACCATATCTTCTTACATATTTTGTCACTAATATGGATGTTTGCAGTGGTTCGGAATCCACTTTAAGTCGTAGGTCCCGGTCTCGTATAACTGTAAAAGCTCACAGAGCCCATTCACACTTCTCACCCACATCATTCCCAAGCTGTATAGGGGCAACTCAACTCTAGGCACAGTGATGTGGTGTGGTGTAGTAGTAACGTTTATAGAAGACAACTATGGAAATTACATGGCCTAGTTTGTCGGCAATTTTGCTGTTTGACGACTTTTTATGTGAAGAAAGAAGAAAAAACATCCAGTAAGGTTATTATTTGTAACGAAAGCTATCTTGGAATGAGAAAACTAACAAGAAAAAGAGTAACTATATTTATTTTTGGTACTTACGTATTAACGGTACCTTGGCTGGCGTTTTTAAGTGTCGCCAATGTAACAGCTACAGATTTGGCGGTTTTTAAGTGGCGCCAATATAACGGCTGCAGATTTGCTGAGTTTTGACGCCATTTTGTTGTGCTACGAAAATGCGTATTTGGGATTTGCCAGAAACAGAACAAGATGCAATTTTATTTTTTCAGGAGCGAAATATTTTACCATCTTATTTATCAGAATTCACATGGCGACAGCATCAGGAGAAAGAAAGAAGAGACTGTTTTGAATCCATGTTAAACTCTATACCGGCCTGTTTTCCACTGAAATCCGTTTGACTACTTTGTGTTTAAATGAAGTGTTTTTGACTAATTTGTGTTTAAATGAAGTGTTTTTGACTAATTTGTGTTTAAATGAAGTGTTTTTGACTAATTTGTGTTTAAATGAAGTGTTTTTGACTAATTTGTGTTTAAATACAGTGGTTGGAATTTTGAAATCGTTTTGATTTTAAATGAAGTGTTTCATGTATATTTTATTATTTGGAACAAAAATTTTAAGTGTAGATTGGCGCCATTTAAAAACCGCCAAATCTGTAGCTGCGGTTGGCGCGTTTGCACTTTATTGGCGCAACTGTCGCCAAGGTACCGTTAATACGTAAGTACCTTACTTTTATATCTGAGCACATATTTATGTAGAGTCACGGGATGAACCCGGAAATCTTTTAGGGTGAAATAGTGCGCCCTGGCGCACCCTTTGAGAGCCATTGATATGTGGTATATGGCCTTCACATGTACGAAAATTCTCACGATAAAATATTCCAAATTATGACTGGCTTGATATTGGGGTAAAAGGAAACTCGTATTACAACTCTTAATATTACAGATTTAAATCATAAAAATACTATATCTTTAAACTTTATCTATCTAATCATTAATACTATGTCTATCTTTAAGCTTTATGTATTAGATCACTGATTACAAGTATTTGAAATAAATTTACACAGCAATTTTGTTGTGCAGAATTTCTCGAAGTGGGAAAGGTAAGACTCCATTTTTCACACACTGAACTCTTGTTGCTGTTTTCTCGAAACACGTTTAACGCGTTGGATCAGCAGGAAACAAACAAATCATGCCGAGAAACAAACAGAACACCTTTTGAAGTAAAAAATTAGAATTACGAAAAATTCTTGTGAAATCTGCAGATGATGAAAGAATCATTGTATTGAATAATCTGGTTTATGTAAAAGAAGAACTTCTGTGTCTTATATTGTAATTCCACTAGGTTTGACCTAAATATTCTCTAATCGAAAATAAATCTTGTTGGATAAGCCACTTCCGTTATTCAATTAGACGTTTGTTTCGGAATCCTTTTCAATGTAGATATGTATGTATGTTTATGTAATGTATTTTAATTAAAGAAAAAGAACAGGTTATGTTAAAGCGCAAAGCAATAAATAAATAAATAAAGTACTATCATTGTTTATTTAGTACATAAATAAATATAAGAATTAAGAAATATGCAGTAATTCAAGAATTCTGAATCATTTGAATTTTAAGAGTTAATAAACATAAAAAGAATCATTAATTGATATCGAACCTTTAAAAGAGTCGTTAATTGTTTTCAAACTTTTAAAACATTCGTTAACTGGTTACAAAACATTAAAAAAATAGGAGATTTTTTTAATGTTTTGTAACCAGTTAATGAATGCTTTGTTCTTATAAAAAACGAATGTTTTTGTTCTTATGAAAAAATCTTTGTTCAATTTTCAATTCTTTGTCAATTTTTTTTTGTTCTAATAATTCTCTATATATTATATTTTATTTTATATTATTGACTTAAAACTTTACATTTTATGAGGTTTCTTTTTAATATTTTCGTGGTATTTTTAATAATAAAACAAAAGTTTGGATTATTTACTTATTTCCTTATTAAAAAATAATTTTCTTTTACTGCAAAATAGAATACGATATCTCCCTGTCCCTAAACAAATAATTATATTTATTTTATAAGCAGGCTATGTCTCTGTTTTCCTAAAAACACTTATTCAATTATTCAATTCGAGTACTGCGCATGCTGTGCTTTTGGTTATTTACTTATTTATTTCTAAAAATTAATTTTCTTTTAATGCAAAACAGAATACGATATCCCTGTGTCCCTAAAAACCAAAAATTTTTTTAAACAGACTATATCTCTGTTTTCTTAAAAAAAATTTTTATCAAATTATTCAATCCAAACACTGTGCATGCTAGCGATTACTCAAGCATTAAAATGTGTAACCAGGACAAACACTTTTTTCCCCAAACAAATCCGAAATTCAGCACCTTGGCCAACTAAAATAACCATTATCGGATCTTACGTAAGGTACAGCTGATAACAGCTGGTATTCTGCCTCTTTTTTCGTAAAAAATTAAATCTTCTTCTTGTGAGTCAAAATAAAAGGATTTCTTTATTTAATCTCGCTTTTTCTAAAGCACAAACTATATCCTTGTTTTTCTTCAAAAAAAAGAAAGAAAGAACTTATTAAATTGCTTAATGCAAACACTACGTCCCGCCAGCGATTGCTCAAGCATTCCGATGTTTAACCAGAACAAACACCTTTCACAAACAAATCCGAAATTCAGCACCTCAAGCCGACTAAAATAAGCTTTATCGGATCTTACATAACCCAACTGGCAACAGTGGGACACCCACGCGTAGGTGGCCAACAGGACAATCCAGCGGGCTGTTCACAGACGTTCGAGTCGTTGACGCCAGGACGAATGGGGACACGTATCTCTCGAGGTGTTACACTTTGCACTCATCTGGAATAGGCAAGCGATTCAGGTCAGGGGCGGGAGACGTGCTTTTCCGTTTCGCTGATGACCTTTGGGCGCATACCTCACTCTGACCTGGAAGGCATCTCGGACATTGAAGTCGCGCGAGACGAAGAATTTCATAGCAGATTAACTGTAACAGATGACAGACTCAATTAATTCAACTAACCTTTAAAGATAGATAATCAAATCAAATACTATATGACCATTACGCAGGTGTGCATACCTCAGGGGGATTCACTTGTCATGGTTCAAGCTAATGTAAAACAAATGGAATTTTTTTATTCCCACATTTTAACCATCCTTTCTAAACGATTTATAATAGTCATAGATGACACTTAAAAATACCACTGGACTCAGGACGTTAGGATATATACAAATTACTCATAAAAGCACATTCAAATCTTCTCATTAAATTGAGGAAAAGGGGTTAAAATCAGTAAGATGACGAAGAATCTCTAAATTTTAAAGTAACCTACAGTCTGCGACGGCCACATCCTAGATATGTGCCAAATTTAAAAACTTGTGAAACTTTAAAACTTCAACTTGAATTTGTATAAGGCTTCCGATTGGTTTATATTGGCAAGAAAATATTGAATGGACAGTCATAGAATAAAGAAAAGGCATACCTTTTTGCATCAGAAAATTTCAATAGCATTGATATTCAGTATGGAAAAATAATTGCAATTCACCAATCAGATTTGATCGATTATCACATTGGATCGTGATTCCTTATCAGAGCGATAATGATTTAAAACACAATGTTTATCAATTCACATATGGAAATTTATTTCAAATTATTTATTAAAGAGAAGTGAATGTTTCCTTGTTCTATACCAATAATTTATAATGTAAATTTGTCCAACAAGAATAATCTTAACGAACTATGTTGATGTTGTTTCTTATCCCACTTGGTCGACAGCAATATTTAGACCAAGTCCAAGAGCCCGAGTGGTCTGATAGAAAAAAGTATAGGGTGGCAGCTTCTGTTGTAATGGAGCACCCATAGGTAGAAGTCTGACTTGGCTCCGTGTCGCTGAAGACGGAGGGAAGTGCCTTCCGGGGGGGGACTATTACGGAAAAATACTCTGCATTTGAGCATCGTATGGCAGAAAA